TATTTAATAAAAATGTTAAGAATCTTAATAGGCAAATATAGTATTAAGAATTTAATACCCACGGACCGTAGTTTGGTGACCCATGCGTTAGACTAAGAGTGAGTACTACAGGAAGTACTCTGTAGAGGCTTATACTTACTTGAACCTGTTGCTGTCTTATAGGTCTTTCTGACTGCTGGTTTTACTCGAGTCAAGTAGTACTTTGCCCAGTTTTATTTTGTAGTACTACTGTGTCACTTTGTTTGGCACAAGATTCTTTTGGTTTTTGCGTAATTGGATTTTATGAAGCTATGTGTGTGTGTTTCTAAGTCTGAACAATATTCTCGTGCGGTACCTTATCGTTCCTGCTCTTGTCTTTGGTAGTGCATACGCAAATATATCTTCCCTTCTTCAATAGTTAGAAGCTAGTGATAACATAAAATTGTCAGCCCAAAAAGACAAAACAATGCTTTGAATAAAGATTTTTTTGTTCTTTTATGTGGGTTTGCTTCTTTTTCTGTGCTGTCCGTTTCGATTTATTCACAGCTTAATAATTCGTCAGTCAGTTGCTTATTGTGGACTACTCGATTGGGAATAAGCGTATCTGAATAAATCATTGTCACACACACAATCGTTTCCTTCAGAAGCGATATTCTATTTTAATACAACCGTAGAATCTCTGCCATAGTTATACATCTTGTTACTAAGAATGTAGCGTGAACTAATTTACAAAATTTTTGACCTGATACCTACATTAAAGGTAACGTTGACTGGTGTATTCACGGTGAAACGTCCATGCCATAAAAGTGTATTCAAAGTATTTATTTTATTGGTTGTGTGCGGGAAAACTATGCGTCATTGAAAACAAGCTGCAATAATTGCTAAATGTTTGCATGTTAAGATTGAATCATGCTGTTTTGTTTTGAAACAGATCGTTTTTATAGTTCTAATCTGTAGCCTTCTATTTTGAGAAAGCATCTTAAAAGTTTGCTCGAGTGGGGGAAACTTTCTCCCTCCCACACTAACTTACTTGAACGTTGAACGGTAGTTGTTACCTCATCGACACGAGCCTAGTGCGTCAGCTGCACCGGCCCCCGCTTCCCGGGTCCACCAATGAGATGCACCGACACGTGCACAGCTGCCTGGCCATTGTGTAAGCTCTCCAGCCTGTGCAACGGTCGCTCCAGACGGCCGTGCGATTTCAGGTGGATGAACAGTGTATATGTGAATTCTGTATATATGTGTGTGTGTGTGTGTGTGTGTGTTGTAGTGTTTGTGTTGTGATTTGAATGCAGGCTGCTAGAGCTGACAACATGGCTCTAATGGTGTGTTCCCCACCAGTGGAGGAGGTAAGTAGGCTGACCATATTTTACCACAAATGTGTTGATTAGTTGTAAAATGGTAGTCTCTCTTATTATTTACTTTTGTGTTTTTGGCTGATTTCTTCTATCTTATATGCCTTTTCCAGTGGTCAGTTTTAAACCAGTTATTAACTGAGTTGCTTCAATCAAGTGTGTTTTCTTGTTCATACTCATTTAAATCAAGATAATACAACAAATTCTGGAAGTGCCAGCCATGAAGCATTACTAAAGTATTAAACATCCTTTTTCAATACCCTTTTAAATCTGTAAAATAATGTACTGATCCTCACTGACAGCTCCAATATTTATTAGTTACAAGCTTTAATCAGCATTTCCTTCCAGACTATTTACGGAATAACTTAACACTAGTTTATCTTAGCTGTATCTGGTATGATGTATATGTCTGCCTTTATCTTCTGTTCTAGCATTTACAGTGCAATGTTTGAAAATTAGTATTTTGTTTTATTTTATTGCCAAATCTAAACCAACATGTTTATAGGGCGTTCACCAACCAGTTTTAACCAAAAATGGTTTATTTGGTAGCTAACTGACCATTTATTAATTAAACAGTCTGCATTATATTAATGAACTCTTTGCAAAAAATATCCTTTTCTAATTGGTCAAATCAAAATAACAATCTGTGTTTATTTATTAGATCCTGTTCTATTCTTTGAAATTTTTTAATGTAGCTTGAGAAAGTGTACAGAATGTCCCTAAAACTTAACCCCTATGGGAAAGTTAGACTCTGAGAGCAATATATTAAGCAAATCATGTGTCATTTTCTATGGGATTAAATTTTTGGGAAACCATGTAGTTGTTGTTCCATGATGGAGCATACTTGTAGATAAAAGTATCCATTATTAACCAACATTTCAATGAAAAAAAGAACTAATGAAAGTCCTATGTATGTAGGTCAACCCAGTTGTACACCTGACCTACTTAAGACTTGTATTATCTATGTTGATTTGCAACTAACGAACAGTTAGAGCTTGTGCAGGTAATCTTAAATGATACTCTTAGATTATCATGTTTAGACTGCACATTTTTTTAAGTATGAAATATAATTTGAGTTTGACATTTATTAATTTCTTACAATAATTGTTACACTGCTTATTGTGTACTGTTGACTATGTTTACTTAAATTATTTCAGCTTAGTGTTGATAAATTATATAACTTGTAAACTTATAATGTTGTACTGTTCACTTTATTTGTATGATGAATTACAATTTTAGCTTGATATCAATGAGATACACAATTTGGTAGTTTATCATTTTCGTAAGGTTTGCTTTAATTAGGAAATATGATTTTACCTTATATATAAGTTGCAACATGAAATAAAGAAAGAGGCAATGTATGCTTTTTGAATAAAATTCAACAAACATTCTGTATGTTTAGAAATAAGATATTCGATTTTGATTTCAAATGTAAATGGTAATATAATCCTCATGCTTATCCCTTATGAAAAACAGAATTAATTGATGATCATTGTAAGTAAGGGTTTATTTAGTTAAACCAATCAAATAAGCTGTTTTCTTTCTTGTAACAACCTCAGATATGATTAAAGATTCAGCTTGAAAACTGCAAAATTTAAAAACAAAGGCAGGAAATTAATGATCACCTGTTAATTCACTTTATTGTTTTATTTTGTACTTTAAACATTTATTTTTAAATCTTTGAGAGTCACTTTAAAATGTAATAAACTTTTTAAGCTGAACTAGAGCATCATTTAGTATAATGTGTGTTCATAGTGCTATTTGAATGGTATACTTTATTGTACAATGACTCAAGTCACAAATTTTTTCATGCAAGTCTTTCAACATTACCTAATACAAGTACATGCATACAGAATATGCTGTTCTAAATGTTTGACAATTATACTTTTCAAATTCATATAAGGTGCCATCTCTAATGTTTTAAAATTATCAGTGTGGATTGTGTACGTAGTAAGCATCATGTTAAATTTAGTTGGTGAAAGAGAGAGAAGTAGACAGGGTGATGTGTCTTGGGAATACACCAGATTATGATCTGCTAAAGCCACACCTGACAATTGACAAAACACTCATCATAATATAAAATATTTCAGAATTCAAAATGCTTTGTGAATTTAGGTAACTTTAAAAATGGTATTTAGTGACCTATCATCTCTAGGCTACGTTAGAGGTCCAAAGTTTGGTTGAAGTTTGAAATAGACATAAAACTGTGTAATTTCAATATGTTTTTTGATTGTCAACTAATAGGCCAATAAATAATTCAGCATGCCCATTCACATACACTTGTTCATAAAATATGCACAAATTTGGGTCAGAGCTTACAAAATTGAGTATACTTGAGTCCTATGGATGCACAAATATTAGACCCTCATATATTTTCAGAGTGGTTAGTTCAAAATGTAAAAGTAATGTTTGTAGTTGTACATGAAAAATAATAATAATTGTCAAACTGCATTTGGCTCCTGTTATTTATCATACTAATTGTTGCTTTTAAATTATCTGCAATATTTTTTTGCAGAAAAAGGAAGTTATTTTACTCATTCACATAATATTACTTTAAGTAACTGTTTCTGGCCAGAAGAGTTATCACTAGGAACTCTCTTGCACATTTACATCAAAAATATAAATAGAAAATGCATTTGTAACTCTTCAATAATTTCTTTACTCAAACATTTCATAAATTTTTAATTTTAGCAATATGGAATGCATATTTTCTGAATCCAAAAATGTTTAAACTTACATTCCTGTTGTACATATTGGCATCTGAAGTGTAAATAACTCAAGTCTAGATGTTTTATTTTTTTTCTAAAGTTTATATTTATTTCTCCCAACCAGTTTAATTATGTTTCTATGGCTTTTGTTTGTTCAGAATAAAGATTGATAGTAATGAAGTAACTCAAATACAATTTAATAATTTCCATATGTTTTTTAATGATTTTCTTCTCATATCTTATGTTTTTGTGTGATTCTATATCTACTGGAAAGCTACAGGAATATTGTTCTATGATTAACCATGGATATAGCGAGTATGTTAGGCTAGACCTGAGACATTTTGATAGTAATGTTGGAAAAAAACTGCCTGTGATGTTCTATTTCTCTAGTCAGGTTTTATAATTGAACAAATATTCTAATATCAAATAGTTTTATGTACTAGGCTTGAAAAAGCTACAAAGGCAAATCTTTTTTGAAATAAAAGTTCTCTTTTAATTGTCTGGAGGGTAAAGGTCATTTTTTCTAACATTATTATCAAGATATGTAAATTCCTTCGGTATGCACTACAAATTTAGAAAGAAAAAAAATGTCCAGCAATTTTTGTTTTAAAATAGCATACATAATTTGCTTTAAAATAAATTATAAACTATATATAAATCTGTGTTTTAAATATTTTCAATGTTTAATATAAAAAGTTCACAAATCTGTTTAGTAATTCAGTTTTACAATGAAATAAATGTATTGAAATTTTATAATGTAATCTACTTACAAATTTTCAGCAGAATTTCACAACTGTGGCTAATTAAATAAAGAAGGTTATTTGTGTTTCACAAGTTCTGAAACATAAAGTGTTATTTTGATTGATTGTTATACTCATTTATAATTGTGTTCTGTTGTTTAAGCTTGGAATTAAATTTTAAGTACTAACATTTATGTGTGTAAGAAATAATGGGGTCATTACAAGAGCTGAAAATAGACTAAAATTTGCTACAGATTTGCAGAGTGGCTGTGTAGCATTTTCTTTGATGATTTCAAGCCACAGAATTTTATCTGTGAAGACATATTTTTATTAAGTAGCCATGAATCAGATAACAATGAAATTTTTGAATTTAGTATTGTATGTGATAAGGTTTTAATCTTATCAATGTTATACTAATAACTCAATATTTGTCTAGATATGTGTAATTGTTGGCTTGAGAGTTTTCCAAAAGAGCTAGACTGTTTTGTATCTTGCTTATTTATATCTTTGTTATAGATTAAAAAAAACATTAGGTAATGCAGGTTGAAAATTTAAGTCTCAAAAATACCCTAGTACAGATTAATTTGTTTTTGTGTTTTAGATTTGTATTTAAAACTTTTAAAATAATTTTGAAAATAGCTTTACTGTCTGGAAAGTAAAAACAAGCTGTTTTAGATAAACTACATGTGAAATTAAAATGTAATACCTAAAGATTTCACAGAAATTTTGCTGCACAACTTGATTTTCCATGTTTACAAGCTTCTAGTACTTCATTGCTTTTATCTTTGTGATGAATTATGTGTTTACTGTAGCAAACGATGCTTAGAAACTACAAAATATTGGTATTGACATGCAAAATACATTTAACTGTCCTGTTAATTTTTGTCAAATTATATGTATAATTATCTATTCTTCCAAAGCTTCTTCTATATAAAACTTGTGTTTTCATTATCTATCAGTCAAAAGAAGTATGATTTTGAAGTTGTAGTTTTTATTATAAATTTAGCAACACTTATACTTAAAATTACTGTTTGTAGTATACATTTAGAGGTATTTTAAGTTATATATTTGCATATTTACATAAATTACATGAGTTTGAGTAGAATACAATGTGGAATTTGTAATGATTATAGCAAACAAATAATTTGACATCTTAGTATAGTAAGCAATGTGAAATATTTAAGTGTAATAATTTTTGTGTTTGTTAGTTAATACACAGCCCAAAAGTTAGAATTAAATTAAGTACAGTATTTATGAAAATTACTAATGTCCTCTTATTTTCCAGCTCAAGAACATTCGAAGTATGATCAGACTGACGCGGGGAAATCTTGAAGCTTTAAATGCAAAGTTTGCTCAATATCAGCACCCACCTTCAATGTACATAACCGTAAGTATTATTAAAAGGCTATTCAGTACTATAAGTATTATCATTACAGTTTGTGTATGTGTGAAGATTTGATCATTTCGATATATTCAACACAGTAATATAGTCAGTCAATTTTTATTTCACACTTTTTAAAAAAATTCTCTGCTTCAAAACGTTTTTGTGCTTTGATAAATTAAAAAAAGGGATTTGAGTTTATATACAAAATTCAAAGTAATATTAGAAATTATAATAACATTTCTGGATAGCCGTAAAAGACCTTAAAATGACTAAAGCATGCACAGGCATCGTATGTATTTTACAGCTTGCACTCTCACACAGTTTATCAGGTTTCATTGGATGTGTATATGGGATTTATAGGCTTGTATGATTTTTTAAGCATTTGGAATAACTATGTCTTACTATTCCAATAGTTAAATGTTGAATTTTTTAAAAACAAATTTTAATTGGATAGAAGACTCAGTGCATGTAGGTTTTACACATCATATGAAGAAACCTTGTACAAGGTACAGTTTTACACTGTAGTACAATAAAAATGTGGTGGGCCAGAATTACATAAGTTATGTTACTGGATGGAGTAATTACTTCTACCTTAAGTCATTTAATATTGTAGCAAGGGTTAGAAGAGAGAAAAGTTGCATTTTTACAATACTCTTGTTAAGGAAACATTAACTTAAAATGGGCATTACAGATGGATGGATTGACACAATAACTTTTGATACAAACACCTTTAAAGAAGTTGATAGTGATAAAATAAACCTGAAATACAAATATACCTGAATTGGTAGATAATGGATAGTTTCTTCAAGTATAGATGTGCTAGACGGCTAACTTTCTTTAACTATAACTCTGAGATTTATAGTGACCTAGTGTTTTCAAATACATTTTAAAATTTGTAATAGAAATAATAACCTCAAACATGAACTTCATTAGATCTAGAATGGAAAGATTGGTTAGAAATACAAACACCTCAAAGTGTATGATGAACACACTATTTTCAAATGCAAATATCTGGATATATATAGTTAAAATAATAACTTCAAATACCTCTAAATCTATAGTAGAAATAGTAATATTTTAAGTACAAGTGTTACTAAATGTGCAATGGAAACAGCGACTTCAAAAATCAAAATTTTTTTGATTGATAGATAATGGAAACACAAGTTTTATATAGAAGAAGCTTTAGATGGTTTTTAGGTTAGGTCTTCTTTTGTTTTTCCTTGTAGTGTAGTCTCTTAGTACTCCCAGTATTACACATATCTTCAGATGACTGTATTGTGTTTTTCCCTTGTGAATATAGTATTCATTTTTCTCCAGTGATTTTGACTTGTTGCCTGGTTGTCCATTGACTTCTGTGTTTTACCAATGTTTGTATTCTTATTGGTTCACACCTTTCGTAATTGCTCTTGGCTGCTCTACATTATTGTCTTTAAATATGTATTTTGTCAGCATGTTTTTCTGATCCACTTTTTGGGAGCTCGTTACCTTCTGATAACAATGTGTTCCTATGTGCTGTTTTCTTACATTCATAGAGGACTATGTCTTTTTGTGTATTTGAAGAAGGATATTTCTGACTTAATGCTTTTAAGGTACCAGTTTGGCTTTATTCAATGTTCCAAGAGATTCTACTTGATTGTGTTTCATTAGAGGACTTTATTATAATGTATTAGTCTTCAGTTTATGTGTGTATGTCTAACATCCATCTTGTGTGGTTAAGATCTTTTACATCTGTAATAAATTAAACTGAGTGTTGCATTCCACAGATTTGCAAAGTTTGGAGTACCTGATTCCAGTGTGTGTTTACTTGCATCTTTTTCATGAGATGCCAGTAGACATTAGGTAAGTCTCTTCTCCCTTGCTTTTCTGCATTCTTCACTTAGTACTCCTTTCAGCCTTGTTTCTTTGTTAACACAGTAGGTTTGTTCTGGGAATATTCGGAGACATGTTCCTGTGTAACTTCTAATGGCTTTGTCTCCAACAATGCACCTGTCAGCAATGAATTCAAACATTAGCTTTCATATGTTTGATATCTGTACCAAGTTTCAGAGTCACCAAAACCTTCAGAGCACAGACTCCTAATCTTCCTGACACACTGCTAGTTACCAGAAATGCAAGACATACACCATTCTTCAGATTAAATAAAACAAACTTTAAATTAACTCAAGATTTGAAAATTGGTACAATACAATCCACACACACACACACTAATAATTAAATAAAACGGTACTTTTATACAGATTTTGGATTACTGTATGAAGTACAGGTGATGGAGCTGTGTAAGTCAGGACCCTAGTGTTTAAAATAGTATCTCTGCTGGAGAGCAGTAGTAGTTCCAACAAAGATGTCATTCTTTGATAAAGTTGTTGTAATTATATTACTCATTTAACTTTTTATATCTTTAAAATAATCTAAAATATATTTAGTCCAATCTTTGTTTTATCTATGTAAAATAAAATAGAGAATATAGTGAGATAAAGCTTGAGAAACATTCTTTTATTCAAGAAATAATTATGTATTAACGATAGTGACATTTTGTGTAAATTTGTAATGATCATCCTAACTTCCAGTATATAAAAAATTTTTTTTGACGAGTCTTGTCATTTATCAGAAGCAATGTTTTGTCTATTGACCAAATTCTATGTTCTGTATATCTAGCCTCTGGGCACATTTTAACAACAAGGATTAGCTCTTTGTTTATCGTAACTACATTTTTTCACTCAAAACCAATATTGCCTGTTGTACTGACCATCCTCCCATTTTCATTGTTGGTAACGTTCATGTGAAGGCTACATTTTGTTAAAATGGTTTCTTGTGAAACTGAGATAGAGATTTGGGAATTGTACATTCACACCTAAATTTGAAGATTAACTGAAACAAAACTCTGTGACATTATTGTTTGTATTAATGCTGGTGCACCTAACCTTATCAGTAAGTTATTCACTGTCAGTAAAAAAAAAAGAATGATTTAGTTTGCCAATTATTCTTAGAAATGACTTTATCAGTAGAGTAATTTATAATCATTTGGCTGGCAACTTAAGCACATACAGACATCATAATCTTTGTGAAGCTGATTTCAGCCCTTGTAAAACAGTCCTCTTGTACAAGAATAACTATAAAATACATTTGATTTCACATGTTAAAAAAAAATGTATACTGTGTACACATTTTAAAAATCATAAAAACAGTTAACAGCTACAAAAACATAAGTTACTGTGACAGGCACACAAATATTTTAAGGAAATTAAAATTGGCCATAATTTTCTTTTTAAAATACATGCACAAAGAACATAAACTATTCTTAAAACTGTGTACATAATTTATAAACATACAAGATGTCTGAACACAATTATAAGATGCTAAAATTGAGATATAGAAGGAAATTCTTACAATTATTGTCATGGCATCCTAAATCTTTGCACATACAGTCACATTTGTAAATATATTGATGATATCCTTATACAGAATTATCAATGTTTTTTAAACACAGCTGAGCCAATTTATCCACCAAGAAGCTCACTCTAGAAAAAAGTTCTTTCATTAAAAACAAAGAACAACATCATTAATCTAACATTCACAGATCAAGTTTTTAATAAAATGGACACTCTCAGCTTTGATATAAACATTCTATTTCTAAGTAAGTTACATCACAGGGTTTACTATTCACAGCTTATTAGATACAAGACTTTGAGGATAGAGCTTTGGAAATTCAACAATATTCTTGATTATAGGCTTAAAGGTTTTACAGAGTATCACAGTCTGTTAAAAAGTATTAGGTTTATACTGTTAGTCCTTTAGATAATGTTGAAGGTAATAGTTAAGTGCTTATTGTATTGACCAGCATTTGTTTTAGCCCATGTTAATTTAACTTCTTATTATGTATTGTTACTTCTAGCTGTTTAACAGTTCCATATACATTATGACATTAGTTTAGTTACAATAGTTTTTGATATTTACTTTCTCTTCGATATTAATGGCCATTGTATCTCTCTTTTCTGTCTTATTATTATTCAATGTTGTTGAGGTTTATGGTGTTTATTTTTTTGGGTTTACAGAAGGTTTAACATTTATTATTTCCCGTAGCCAACTCTGTTGTTTGTTTAGTGTCAGAGGATAGTTATAGTGAGAGTGGTAGTGTTAGACACATCTCATAGTGTGTTTACCATGTTGTTTTCTTTGTATTATGTTTAACATTGATACGTTTTCGTGGATGAATAAGGTATTCTTTTAATTTCTTACTTATTGTTTTGTATCTTCATAAGCATTAGCTATTGATTGTACTGTAGATAAATTACTGCTACTAATTTGACACAGTTTAAGCAGTAACAAGTTGTTGTCGGTTTGTCACACTCACAGATACCACTCTCCTTTAATGTTACTCTGTGGAATGACTCAGTTTTTATTGGTCAAAAACTTGTTAGGGAGAATTGAAGAAAAGTCAGGCATCTTTTTCTGATGTTACATATTTCAAAGAAAATGAATTCTACAACAGTAGCTCAATCCAATAGTTAGTGTTCCCTATGTAAGGTATAGTATATTATTTCTTTATTGTTAGTTTCATTAAAAGTATTGGTTATTTTGTTTATTACATCAAATGTTATTACACTTTAATTTTATTTTTTGTTATAGAGATTGTTTTGCAATGTTAACTTAATATACTTATTTAGAACTAAACTAAATCTCCTAAGCTAGCCAAACCTCGTAAGATATCATTGACATTACAGCCAAAAATATCGTTGACAATATGGTAATCAAACTGATGAAACAATTCGTTCCAATCTTTTTAAGTAGAAACTTAAGAAAAGTATATTCAATTAGCTATACTGATTGCCAAGTTGATACATAGTTTGCTCTGATCAGCAGTTAATCATCACGCAACACTAACCACAAGCCTAGGAAATTTGAAAAAGCAGTTATTAGAAACAGACAATTAGATCTGTGCTTTTAATCGTTAAACAGGTTGCAGGTTGCAAAAACACCTTGGATGTTTGGTATACTTTGAGTAAAAGAATTATGATTTTTTTTTCTATGTGAATCTCATTGTTCACATGTTAATACCTGAACATGATCAATGGTCAGTCATTCTGTGATGTTTTGAATATGTGGTGGTTTGTGCATGTGCTCTTCTAGTTGCACACTGGCTTCCTTAATGTAGAAGTCATCATAATCCAAACAATTCACGAAATATACACAGTGGTTATCAACTTTCCTAGAATGTGTTTTAGAAATTAGTGAACCTAAATTCTTATGATGGTTAATACAAATAATGTATTTTTTTCACCTTTGACCAACCACGTTGTATTGCTTTTATCAGTTAGGAACATAGAGTCCAGTCAACAACAGAAAGTAAAGTTACTACATGTATCCTTTATATTAGGGTTAAATTTGTCAGAAAACAAATATCCTTAAAAATTGAATCTACAATTTAGTCGGGATAATCATTAACTTCAAAAAACCAGTTTCTTAGCTAATGATATTCATCTGCAATGTGTACATTCTATAAGGTTTCCAAAACCCTATATTTTTCTTGAAAGGAATGAGAAGGAACCCCAGGAGAGAAAGTGGCTAGTATGACAAAGGTTTCTGTAAATCTTGCAAACAGATACATAAAAAAAGGTAGCATTTTGGTGATTACTGTTTTAGTCATAAAGGTATACAAGGATGAATCTTATGAATAAATTCCAAATAATTTTTAAATTGTAGAATCTAAAATACCACTAAAAATTTATCAACAAATGAAAAATGACCATCTGCTCATACTAAACATTAAACAGTGTGTGTGAGTGATAGTTGTACTAATAGCAAAACGTTTACATCATTTTGTGCTGCACACTTGATAGAGGTTGGCTAAATGATGAAAATCTGGAATGTAATAATAATAATGAAAATGGTTCAAGGCTGTCTAACGTGTACATAACAAAGACAACATAATTTTTTTATGAAGTTTGATCAAAACTCTATAGTGCTCAAGTTAATTGGTAGAAAATGAATATGATTTCACAACAAACTGTTAAGTTTTTTATCTTGTGTAGTAATAGTTTGAACTGATTGACCATTGATAACTGGGACCAGCTTCAGAGATAATCATTAGACTTAGCATAAACAAAATTCCCAGTAAAACAACAATGAAATGCTCAGCAGCCAAAGAGAAAAGATAATATAAAGAAAATATTTGAATCACTGAGAGAAAAAGATATTCTTGGATTTTAGCCCGAAAACTCCAGGAAGCTTTATTTCATCATACTGCTGATGGAAACTATAACGTTAAAAGATCCTTAGAAATTAAGCCAGATGTTTTGTTAATAACATGATAATAAACTGGCTTTTGTATAAAACGCAATTTCCCGCCTTAAAACTACTGCTTATACTCAAAGCCTTAAACATTTAACTTGATAAATTGTAACTCAAGAAAAATAAGAACGTTGTTTTCTCTGTATCAAATATTTTATTCTTAAAAAATCAATTTTGTATTATACAAAATCAGTTACACCTTAGCGTGTTTTCTTAGTAAATGAGAGAGACTTTAACGATAAAATAAAACTTAATTTCGTAATATATATATCTAATGAAGATAAACGAAGTTTTTCATTACTCGTGATAATACACTTTTTAATAGAGGCAACAAAGAAATCTTTAAACGAACCTGTGAGTACATCGTGAACGGTCGGGAGTTTTTTGCATAAAAGATGTAAACTTTGAATTGTAAAAATAGAAATTATATATATATACATATAATGAAGATAAACGAAGTCTTTCATTACTCGTGATAATACACTTTTTAAGAGATGCAACAAAGAAATCTTTAAATGAACCTGTGAGTACATTGTGAACGATCGGGTTTCTTTTTTCTTTCTTTTTGCATAAAAGATGTAAACTTTGAATTGTAAGAATAGAAATTATATACATATATATAATGAAGATAAACGGAGTCTTTCATTACTCGTGATACTACACATTTTAAGAGAGGCAACAAAGATATCTTTAAATGAACCTGTGAGTGAATTGTGAACGGTCGGGGTTTTTAGAGCATAAAAGGTGCAAACTTTGAATTGTAAAAATAGAAATTTATTATGTTCGCGATTTTCAGTCAAGATAGATGAAAAACCCTGCATGGTTATTATGATTACGTTTTTTGTTGTTCATAGAGAGAGAACCGGCGACATCGGTATATGCCGATAGGGCGATTGTTATTACATCTCACCCCACGTGCCAGCTGTTTACTGAAAAGTTATGCGTGGTACGTCTGTTTTGATTAATATTATTTATTGCAAGCAATGCGTTTGCTTAAAGAAGTCAGAGTGGGTCACATAAAATTCTTTGTGTAGAGTTTCAAGGACAAATCGTATTACCATCTGTTAGACGGCCGCTGCCTACCTTTTGTTTGGCTGTAGAAGAACGACATACCATGTTAAGGATCTGCGCACGGGGCTCTCGTGCGTTTAAATGACGTTGTTTGCAGGTAGCGGCATTTGAAGCAGGTGATTTGACTGGATTCGGTGTTCATTCTTTGTTAACAATTTCGGACGAAATCTTGTTTTTTGCTCCGTTTATTTTGAGGGATAGTGGCTATTAATAGACTTGGGTTTCATAAATTTTGTCTATTGGCTGTAAATGATAATGAACTCGGGTCAAAAATAGCCTGTTGTGGCTGTGGGTAGGACTGCCAGTTTCGACTGCTATAACACGACAGCTGCTAGATACCTCATTATCTTCTTAGTTACATATCTTTAACAGCTAGAGAAGCCACTACACAACAGCAATAAAGGCGGGAGATTAAAAAACAAAGTTGCTTGCTTATACGACTGCGCCCATTATAATAACTGATATTGTTGTTGAGTTGCCCCTTCAGTAAAGACTAAAAACGCATTGTTAAAATATCAATGAGCGTCTGATCGTAGGTATATCAAGGATTGCAAAGCATCTTACAGTGTTGAAATATAAAAGAAGCAGTATTTTTTGCTGAAGTGCAAAATCTCAAATTTTGCATTACAAAGGAAAAAATTTCTAACTGTGAATGAATGACAAAAAAAATTGAAATTTTATCTAAGATTTACAAAAGTAATGATAAAGTATTACTGACATATTTTTTCCAAGGCTTTTCTACTGTTTCTTTATTAAAGATATCACAATTTCTTTTTAAAACCAACTGGATAGTAAAACAAAAACTCCAACATAGTAACTGTTCAGTATTTCTTCAGAAGGTCTACTGACAATACATAGTTGTTGAATGTAGAAAAAAGGCAGTTCTGTGATTTTCACAAAGAACTTCATTTCATAGATGTACAGACCTTACCCCTGGTGTTTTCTGTCATTGTCATTGATTTGCATTTTTTTAACTGAAATAGATTTAAAAAGTCTTATATTTTGTAAATTTTAATGTTTTACTACAATAGGTGCAGTCTTTCACATTTGGATATATATATATATATGCACACTTTCAGTGCCATTTTACAGGTCCTTTTCACAGTATTTTATATTAAGTCATGAAAAATTAAGTGTTGTAATATGACCTTGTAAATGTCTCTTGAATATTGATATACAAATAAATAGTATAATTTCAAAATTTAATTATCTGGAACAGTTGTAATTTGAACCATTCAAAAAGTTAATCAAAATTGGTCTATTTGTTGTAATTTTTTGTTACAAAGGACGAAAACGAGAACTTTAGTTCTACCTAGGTGATATACTGTGTGCAACTTTTGGTATTTTATTTAGTAAATTATGGTTACATTTATCCATATACATAATGTGAATATACTACTGAAATATTTTAAAAAAATATTGAACATTTTGCAGATTGTGGTTATAAGAAATTACAATATTTAAAGAAATGCCTCAAATGTAATTTCCAGTAGTATGATAAGGTATGTTTGTGTCATTGTTTTTATTCAGCATGTTTTCTCATGTTTATAGTACATCATTCTTTTGAGTAGAATAACACTTTTTATTAATTTTTTTAGTAAGATTTTGTACATTTTTACCTAATGTTTTGTGTAGGTTTTCAATGTGGTAAATTACCTCCTCTCACATAAATAGCTATTCTCATTCAGTGCTGCCCTCTATATGCCAAAAAAATAAATTTGCATGCCACAAGCTTTGAAACTCCCACCCATCTGGAACTGACTAATTCCAATAGGTCTCACATGCAAGTTACCATGCTAAAAACCTCCACCAATAAGAGCAAGACACATTCTCTTGACACGTGACTCCCTCTATTCAATTCTACCAAACTGTCACTTCTCGTTTGGCAGTACTCATGTTATAACGTTTAGTTTCTGCTCACTTCAAGTGTTTTATTTTAATTTTCTCTCCGTATCTTTGAGTTAATTTCTCTCAATAAATTTACTCTTTGTTATACAATAGCGATATTTGTAACTGGAGTTATTCTGAAGTGGAATTAATTTATATTTCTACCCAGTTTCAGAACTTATTACTTCATTACTAAAACTTTTTATTTGTTTCTGCCAACACATTTGTATATGATTCTACATTTTGCATTATGAATTCTATGTTACAACTTTGGAGGTTATATGTTTTATTAGCACATTTACACAGGCTCCAAGTCGCTATACTCTGTGGGAACATTTTTAGCTTTACTTTGGGAAATTGATCATCCACTGAACTGACCTTAGTTGGGTCTTGCCTCGAGTTTGGGGGGGGGGGCACACATTTGAAATATAGTCTGCCAACTTTGGACTGATAAGACATTCTACTCTTATGGTTTTTGAATAACTTTATTGTTAATATTGTTATCTGTAGTTATTTGGGTTCCATAACATAAGTTTCATCAGATTGGTTAATACACGTAGTCCAGTTCAGATTAGCAGTTAGTCTTAGTTGTATCTTTCCTCCTATACCATTTGCTTAGACGTACCTTGGGCTTTGTTATTTTAGGATTACCTGTAATTCATCATACTGGTATATCAATCATTAGTTTAACTATATTGTTTTTTTTTCCATACATCTATTACACATGTTATTGTTATCACACACTTCCATAATTTTATACAATATCGTCTATTTCATTTTTGTTATTATTTATCTTTTATCCTTCTTGCTGTTCACTTAATTTATGTGGAACTCTTGAGACGGGGTCCACACAAACTTCTCCCAATATTGTACATACTCATTGTTTGGTTAAGTTTTTATTCTAGTGCTTAGTGATATCCTTTGTTCTGTACTGTTCGATTAGGCTTTTCAAGTGTTTGTTATTTTCGGTTTAATTATAGTTCTACTTCTGGGTTAATTGATAATTAGGTTAAATATCATCTTGTTTAATTAGGCTTAATAAGTGGCCATTATGTTTTATTTACCCATAGTTCTGTTTACAGGTTAATTGATACATAGGTTAAATATCTTCACTTTTCCACTATGTCAACTATTTCATTTTAGTCTTTCTTTATATTCTATACTTTTTACCATTAGTTTTGTTTAATTTATACTTCTTACCATTAATCTCATTTATGAGGGCCCCCTGGGGTCCACCCTATCTGCTCCCAGTATTGCTTGCCTTTCTTCTATAATGGCTGAACCCATTTTCCGACAACCTAGATTTCGTCAGTTTTCCTCCCTTACCCATTGTGTTTCGACTGACCTTTTATTCCTTGTCTCCTTCTTCCCATCATCACATACTGGTGTCTTCACTCCAAACATGCACCCTCCCTTTTCCCTGCATGTCTACCCTGATGTCCATTAGAGGTACTTTGTTTGTTGACACGGGATACTTCTCATGCATTCTCTGCTTTGGGCAGCTGTTTCTTCCTAGTCAGGGTACCATCATCCACCTTTTGCCATCCTTTGCTCTTTCATGAGACTGTGACTGGGTAAGCTACATTTAGTATATATATTATTTTTCAGGGGCATGTCCCTCTCTTTATGGATCCCACTCTGTGGCAAGTGGTGCCTGTCCAGGTATACTTAACCTATTAAAAGCCATGCAACACACACTGTGTTCCACAAGGTTTATCCTCAGGATATGTTTGCTTCATTAGTTTGCCCATCCCAGACCATACCCACCCATGGATGACATGGTCATTCCTCCAGACTCTCCACCTTACTTTCTCTGTCCTCCTTCTTCTAGTGGAGTTTGAGAGTCCTTACCACTTACCAGTTTCAAACTGTTGGGGTAGTGGACCATGGAGGCATCCTCCTGAATGTGTTAATTAAATACCAATAATATATATATAAATGATTATTAAACCATTCAGTTGAGAGTAGGGCGGTGGTGTTCTGCTGGTGTAGATGATGAGATATCCTTCACTATGTAACATGGGAGTGAGCTGTCAAAATTGCAGTTCGCCCATTCCATTGGGATCCCTCATCCTACCCCCTCATGGATGTTTTGAATTTGAACCAATCAACATAAGTCCTCACACATGTATCACAGATGTTTCTATTACCCTCACTCATTTATACTCTTTTTTTTTTAATTTACTCCGTCTGTTTTGTTGGTCACAATGGAGGTACTTGCAGATAACTACAGTTCTTCCCCTTCTGCTATCCCTCTATGCTTATTATTCTGAGGATGTTACTGTGCTTGAGGCAGTTCCAGTTATTATATCTTTGAATGAGATGGTTTACATTACACAGACATCTTTTCAATCTCGGGTTCCCGGATCAATCATTCAATTTCTCACGTTATTATTTGTCTGGACGGGGGGTACGAAATTCCATCTAGTCTCATGAATTAAGGTGAAGATGATATGATTCTGTTTCCTACCCCCACTTGGATTTTGGCTCCCGGTGGTCTCATTTTTGGATTGTAGTTAACTTACCGATGGTATGATTTCCATCCTACCCTCATGTGGATATTGGTTCCCAGTGGCATAGGTTTTGGATGTAGTTAACTTGCTATGTATGGTCCATCACGCCCTCACCACTCTACTCCTAGGGGCACATCTTTTAATCTTACCCGTCTTATGTTTTCAGGGATTGAGTTTAATAATAACATATGGTTCGGATCACTATCCTGCCATAGTTCTCTCCCATTTGGATGTGTTCCTCCATCTTTCCACCCATATGTACGACATCTGTCCACAATAGGCAAAGATTATACCTGTTTCAGAAGTGGTGCAGTCTCCCGTATATGATCTTTGACTTTGGGGGAGTTTCCTCGGAACGCTTTATAAAAATGCTTCTTTTTTTCCCTCGCACTGGTCCCTCCACCTACTCAATGGGATTCTAGCTATTTATGTGAGAGGAGGTAATGTACCATATCAGAAGTTATAATTTTTCTATACTGAAAATGTATTTCTGATTGGTACTTACGTCCTCTCACACTTCCTCCCCACTTAAAACTGGTGCTTATGTTTTCTGCCAACACTCAAAGTAATGGTTTAATAGCATTGAATAGAGGGAGTAACATGCATCAAGAGAGTGTGTCATTCTCTTATTGGTGGAGGGTTGTTGCATGATAATTTGCATGTGAGACACATTGGAATTAGTCAATTCCAGATAGGTATGAGTTTCGAGGCTTGTGGCATGCACAAAAATTTGTTTTGCATATAGAGGGCAGCACTGAAAGAGAATAGCTATTTATGTGAGAGGAGGTAAGTACCTATCGGAAATACATTTTCAGTATAGGAAATTTATAACTTAGTCATTTAAAGTAAAATATTGTAAGCATTTTACTCTGTCTTTTTCAGTAGAATATCGTACACGTGTCCTCATCCTTTAGGGAAGAGTATTGTTATACATTACACTTTATTCTTTTAACTATGATTATATGAATACTATATTTAGTATGATCTTATTTATGTTTTCATTTTTAAGGTAATTTGTGTATTATTTCAGGAGTTTGAAGATCTAAATTCCAAACTGAATGAGTTTCAGCTTCAAGAACAAAGACTTGTAGATCAGCTTAGCAATGGAAGTAATGGAAGAGACTCCCCTGAACACTCAGATTATGACTATGATGATAGTCGGATTTATTCTGAGATTCTTTCTTCACGGGCAATTCTGACTCCAAACAATAGTCAAGGAAGTTTATCGAGTGGTAGTACAGGTCAGATTAAACCTAATTTAATATTCATCTGGTATTAGGGTAGGTTATATTAAATTATAAAAAGCCCTTCTCAGTTCCTTTACATGTATTTTAAGTTTGATTAGATATTAGAATACATAATTAATGTTGTCTGCCTCAAGCGATGGCTTCAGAGCTATGCACCAAGAATATTTAGTAGGGGTGCATATCACATCATTGTAGTCGATACAATACGTATCTAGATACAGAAGTTTTACCAATGGTTTGTTACAAAGTTTGGCAGTCTTGCCTGTAATTTATTATCTATATTATAATGTTTACTGAAAGCTTGCCAAATTTCATTAAGTTATATAAATCGTATCATATCAGATGATGTATCACAGCTTCACTATACAGTACTTTGTGCAATACTTGTGAACTGTTCAAGAACAACATTGTTAAAGAAGACCATATGTAGTGATATCACTTAAGATTAGAAGTTAACTATTAAACATCTGAAATCCTCTGGAATTAAATGGGCATCAGTGGTGTATTTTAAATGAAAGCCACACTAATATACTGGTTACTGTGAAACATTATAAGTGTGTTGAAACCTGTTTTTAAGTTATACTAGCAGCAGTTTGTATTAAAGTGTGTGGTTTTTGTAGTAAGTAGTTTAATTGGCTCTAAAATAAGGTTGGATGTGTGTTTCTACTTAACAAATGACTTTGATCTAGTACCCAAATTTATGCTAGAGGCTATAAAATTTATATTATAGTAATTTTTTGAAAAGTATATGCATTGGAAACTTGTTTAACAAAGGTTGAAATAGCTAATATTAAGTCAGTATGCATAATTTGTTTTAGGTACTATGTCAGATGGAGCCAGATTAACACCAAAATCTCCATTAAAAGTTGTCAGAGCCTTCCTTCCTAATCAACAAAGATCAACGGTGAGTAAGATATCTGTTATTTCTATAAACCAACTTAAAACTTTTTACAAAAATCAGAACTGATTCATTGGTACAAATTATAAATGTAGTAGATTCTTTTTCAGACACACAAAGCTTTGAGAGAAAAACAGGGTATAAATGAATATAAACCTTTAGCTGTATATTTACATTTGTTTTTATTCCATTTGAAATAATTTTTAATGGTACTGCCAAGTTATTCATTTGTGATTTTTCAGGTTCAAGTTCGACCAGGCCAGACAGTTCAGGAAGCTTTGTCTAAAGCTATGAAGAGAAGACATTTGACACCCCATATGTGTGTAGTATACAAATGTAATCCAAGGTGAGTTACATGAGATTTAGACAATAGTTATTAAAATTAATATTTTCAATTTCAAAATTGTGTGTGGGTTGCAAATGTTTTTACCATTTGCCAAGCGTTTGAAAACAAAAGTCATTTTATTCCTAATTAAAGGCCCTTAATGTCTCTATTTTCTTTCTAATCTTCTGCTTCCATTTCAGTAATGTTAGCCACAATAAAAATACTGATTATTTATTCTGAAAAACACAAGTGTTGGCATCAATCAGGATTGGTGGCCTATAACATTACTTGCTATTTTGTTTGAATGGTTTTGAACCCTAATTGCTTTTCTGATAACTTATGTTCCCTGTCTGGCAGACTTGAACAATAAATCATTATTTGAATTGCTTTTGGTGGTTTGTTTGAAATGCACTTTCTGTGATGCTAGATACATTTTATAATCCTCACTGAAAATCTACTTGTTAAAGACCTTTATACCCCAGATAATTATAATCTTTTTATCAAAATATGTAAATCCCTCCAGTATTTTGAAAATCTACTTATTGATGTTTCACATATGATTGACTGAACTTTTTTGTTTTTAAGTGGTAGTTTTATATGCAGATTTTAGAATGAGAACACTTCACTTATTTTTTTAGGCAAATCTTTGTTATAAAAATATAAAATCAATAACTCTGAATAAAATTGGGATAAAAATGTTTTTGAAAATTTAAAAAGGGATGATTGCATCATAGTAATTTATTCATAACATTTTAAGTTATTGCAGTTAGCTTTAGTGATTCACAAAATGATATGGAAAAGCTACAATATTCTTGTAACTTGGCTTAGCTGAAATGTTTATTGTTAGTTTGTATTGAGAAACCATACAGGTATTGAAATAGTAAATTTGTTTTATATATTATGCTACTTAGCAATTTAACTTAAAAGTCTATTAAAGAATAATTTGGTACCTTCTGTTGTACAACATTAATTTGTAAGCTATTGTTTCTGTGTTCCATGTGATTTCTATTTTAAGATGCTATTAGAAGATCATGTCAGTGAGTAATAGGTTTTGTTGGATGTTTCATTCGGTACTTCCCTACTAACTGAATTTACTTGCTTTTATCTAGAGTTCGGCTAGATTGGGATACAGATATAGCAATGTTAGAAGGAGAAGAAATTACTGTTGAAATAAGAGAACGATTTCCTATCACAACTAGTATATCTCATAATTTTGTAAGTATTTGTTTTTCAAAACTTTATTAACTTATTAGGATTCAGGAAATAAAATTAGTATGTTACCATGGTTTTGCAAGTTTGAAGGAGAAAGTTTTTAATTATATGAATTATGAGCTTACTGTATATAATTTTAACTAGGATGTAATGAATACTGCTCAGATATCTGATGATTAGTCATAATTTATGAAATACAAATGATTAATCATTAAGCCTATGCTTGCTCTATATTCATATCACTCTTCCTAGTTTCCCAGAAAATAATATGTATTTACTTACTTGCAGGCTTAACACACTTATTAAGATCAAACTGGACACCAGATGCTTCAGTGCAAGACACGTCATATGGCAAATCAATAACAACTCTATGAAGCATTAGAGATGACATGGCTAGTGGAAACAATTTCATAAGAATATATATGATGCATAACAAACTTTACAACAGTTCAATTTTTTAAAATCTCTCTTACTTTCACATTTTTGTCATCATTAGCAGTTTTGGTTATGTTTTCTATGTGGTGAACATTGCCTTTATAAAATTGCAACAGAACTTCAGTTGCTTTATGTCTGTATGTCTGTGTTTTAACTATTTACTACAAAACCCTAGATTTTCTATCTCTGTGTCTAAAATATCAGCTGACTTTCAGCTCTTTAAGTTGTTTTTTTTTATCTTCTGATAAAGGTAGAAGATTGCTGTCAAAATGCTAATCTCTTTGTAAGAGAATGTGTTCTTGAAAGCCTCTTTAATAGCATGTTTTAATAGATAAAACACAAATTTAAAACAATTGTATAAGTATAAACGACTAGCAGTCTCAATTATTAGTTCTACTGTGTATCATATATATGTAGCTAAATTGTCCATGAATTCCTCCAGTAATCCTATCCCAGTTAAGGCTTTGCCAACAGCTAAGTACAACCCTCCTGTAATAGATAACATGTATCCTTTAGTCTGTAATCAATAATATTGTATACAGGAACTGATGACTGCAATTCAAAACTACAGTGTTGTACAGTCATTTACAATTTAATGCTTAAGTATTTGAAAGATAACATAAATGCATCTTTTGTGATTAGCCCACTGAAAACATTTTAGTACTTAATACTATATTTTAAAAATCAAAATATAATAAATTTGTGTGCTTCAGAAAATTGCTTTTACAGTCTGATTATTGGCTACTTCACAAAAAAAAAAACAGTAATTGTGGCATCAACTTCATCAATTAACAGTAAAAAACTAACAAGTTCCTTTTTTGTCTTTTTATGGGAGTGAGCTCCAAAAGCTCATTGGTCAGCTTTACAGAGATTATTTGGAAACTTATCTGCGATACTAGACACTACCCATATTGATTCTATGTTTCTTTTCCAAACAAGTAAACATTTTGTATTTTTCCAAAGGTAGTTCTTCTTTTGTAAAAGTATGTTAATTTATCAAAAAATACCTGTTAGTAGTCTGCAAGTTCTTTACAACACCAAAAACACTTTCAAAATTGCTTCAGTAGAATTTGGTCTGCTTTCTAGCTTTTTTTACCTGAATATGTGATTCTGGTTGTGAATGTTTTACAACACAATCCTTCTCTAAAATAGTACCTCCTGTCACCTTTTGTCAAAGTCATTAATTTTTCTCAAGCCCTGGAGCTACTCTTTCTATATTAGTGCTGTTGTAAACTAACCATATTTTTTCACATCCAATTCTGTTATCCATTTATGTACCAAAATTATATTAAGACAATTAAAACCATTTGCCATCTTTCTCTTTTTTTTTTCTAGGCTCTTATTTTGCTTTGTATTCAATGTCTTAGTTTTTTTTTTACCTCTAAGAAAGTATTAGCAACGTGATGTCTGCTGCTAGTTTATTAAATTTATGCTTGTTACATGTGAACTATTTTGTGTCTTGCTGTGAATGAAATGCAAATCATTTGGTTTCAAGCATATAGACTGTCCTTGTGAAGTCAGTTATTAGAATTTTAATGCTCTTATGGCTGTGAACATCTGTTTCAATCTCGGAGCAAGTACAGTATAATTGTAGCAAGTCAAAATTGACAGATGGTTGTCGTCTGATGGAATTGTCGATTCTTTGCCTTGTCCAGCTGGTCTGGTAGTAGAACCATAAGTTTTAAAGTGGTTCTACAACTGTTAATGAAATTTACACTTGTCCAATGGCTTTCTGTCAGTGAAATGACCATTAACTTTCTTTTAGGCTTAACTGTTGTTTATAAAGATATTGGTATACTTTAAACTGTGATTTACCTTAGAAGGAAAAGTAACACCACTATAATGAACATGTATAACTTGTATAAGAAGTGTTAGATTGTTGAGATTTCTAAATACAAACACTCAGCACTTCTTATGTGATTGGTGTATTTTCAGGCTCATTCCAATAAAATATTTTAATGAAGTTTTAATAGAGAATAGATAATTTTTGTAAACCTTTTAAGACCATTATGAAAGATGTTTTTGTTCCTCCATGAAAATATGTTAATATGTGCATTGTTTCATACAACTGATCCTGTATTTTATTGTGTTATCCTGACACTACAGTTCATCAAATAATTTCCTGGAAATTTGAAGTTTATTAAAAAAAAAAAATTAAATATGAGAACCCTGAGTTCCTGACGTACATATCAATAAACTGAGGAGTAATAAACATTATTTTATAACATTGGTCATTCTTTGTCATAGCTATAATGCTACAAATCCTGAGTAGACTTTATTTTTTTCTGTGTACTTTTAATAATAACACTTATATTAATATATAGTAGCAAACATTGTTTTGTATACATATTTCATCTATATTTCTATTACCTCATTTTTTTGTTTTGTATTAATATTATTACTTATATCAATAGTTGCCTTGTTTTAGGTTAGGAAAACCTTCTTCACCTTGGCTTTCTGTGAATGTTGTCGAGGTATTCTGTTTCATGGGTTTCGCTGTCAGACTTGTGGATATCGATTTCATCAGCGATGTGCTGGTGATGTACCAACACTATGTCAACCTCTTCGAGTGGACAATATTTATAAGCAGTAATATTTCTTTCTTGTCATAGAATATTGAGTTTAAATATCTCTTCTAATCAGTTAAGTTTTGTGTTAGAGCATTTTTTTTTTATTCAATTATTATCACTAGACTAGATTAGATAGATAAAATTATCTTGTTTAATGTCACATGAACATGTCATTGAACAAGGAATGATGGTAACACTGGTGTTGTATAATTGAAAATGTAAAAAATCATGCCTTGAGATACGATTTAGTATTGTTGTTCAGCTTACTGTTTTAATTCAATAGAAAAATAAGTTCTGAAAATTCCACAGATATCAAACTCAATAAGAAATTGTGTTATACAGTATACATAAGCATTAGAAAATGTAAGATTTAGAATATTAAGATTAATGTGGTTGTATATCACAACCTATTTTGTACAAATTCAAAAGTTTTATTGTTTCAGATTTCTTGTTTTGTAATGATGCCCGTTTATGGTAAAAACATATCATATGAACTGTAGATTGCAAATTTTTAATGATTTTGTGAAAGGGCTAAAACATTGTCTAGCTCTTTTGGTTAGACAAACATTCTCTCATCCAATATCTCTTTGAAGCTTTTGTTAATATTCATATTTTTATACCCACAATTAAGACTAGTAGCTATGAATGCCTGCTACTAGCATAGCTATGTATTGGACATGAATATTAATGGCATGCAATGGTTTTATTGTCTTGAATTTTTTTACAAGTTCTACAGTAATTCCTGTTTGTTGAATCCAAAAATGATATCCATTTTTCTCCATCATATAGAGATTTTTCACATAACGTTGTAACGCAATACGTACAACAAAGACCACAACGCATAGTTTTGAGGCTAAAAGATATAGATTTCACAAAAAAAATCAGGATGAATGAGGATATATTCGTTTGACATCAGTGTTCTTCCCTTTTCTTCAGTTTGTTAGTATTTTTGTTCACAAACATAATAATAGAAAATATTCATTGTGGTAAACAAAATAATAATTTGATCTTAATAAGTTTTTTTATTCTTCCCGATTTGTAAAAAATCCTTACGTGATAAAAAAGAAGTGAATATTATTTTTGAAATCTGTGTAGCTGAATTATGGAAAATCTGTTATTAAAACCAAAACAACTTTTATGAAGTTTAAATTTGCAGACCTGTTTAATCAGTATCTAGAATGTTTACTTTTAAACAGCGCCGTCGAGAGCAGGGGTGGGCTTTGGGGCTGGAGTCACCCCGGGCCCCCAGCAGGATCCAGGAGCTGAGGCCCTGGTGGGAGACCAAGAGGGAAGCTGTAGACTTTTAGTAATTTTAGCAATATTTTAAGTCTTAATAGCACTAAGTTACGGCTTACAGTGCCGATTTCCTTTGTGAAATTTTCCATGAACAGAGACCTTTAACAATCAACAATATCATTTTGAGAAAAGAAAAAAACATAAACATCTGTTCATTTATTTGGATAATTTATTGAAAGTTTAAACACATTGTCAAGAATTACTTTAATGAGTTCAGTAATGAAGAATTGTGATAACTAAACAAAACATGCTTTACGTGCCTTTTTTAAAGCAAATGTTTTTATTATTTCACTGAAGTCAATTCTCCACACAAGTTCAATCTCAATACTAAGGACGGCTAGGTCATTCAGTCTCTCCTGTGTCATCATGCTCCTCAAGAAGCTCTTGATGAGTTTTAGTTTGCTGAAAGATCTCTCAGCAGATGCTACTGTAACTGGCAATGTGCAGAATATTCGCAGTGCAATATATACATGCCGAACTGCACATTACATGAGGTTTATCAGGAAAGAGGTCGCCGTGTTCTAAATTTAGAATATTTGGCAGTTGGCAGAAGTTAT